AATGCTGGGGTAAGGAACTCCATAGGGGTCTGGGACCCGGGGACCCAGAGGGGAAATCAGGATGGAAGGATGGCATTTGCAGGATTGTGTCTCCTTCCCCTTGGGCAGGTGGGACATGACCCTTCCAAGGAGTTCACTGACCACTGGTGGAGCCAACTCTTCAACAAGACAGCTGCCAGCTTGGTGGTGGAGACTGGGAAGGTACTGGGTGGGGCGGGATGGGGTAAGTGGAGGGGAGGGAGAGATGAGCATAGAACACACAAGCACTTGGTCTGTGTGGGGACTGTGAGAATCGGGCGTGGGGCAGCAGACTCAGTTTAACCTCCACCTCCCCAACAGGATGGAGTAAAGATGAAGACCCAGGCCAAGGATGCCAGCAAGCAGAAACAATCTGGGGACTCAAAGTCCAGCCTGTTGTACGGACACTTCATAAAGGTACTAGAGGCTAGGGATGAAGGAGACCCTCCTCTCACCTGCTAGTCCAGGTGGGGCTTCGTACTTTCTATTGTCTTCACTATCAGGAGACACTGGCCACACTTCCATTTGCAAGAGGAAGAATTAGACAGTGTATTCTACAAAACAAGTGACCACTAGCTGTCTTATAGCCCTCTAGATGAATTAGGCAGTGGGGTAGGACTAAGGCTATATCTGAACCATGGGGCCTGGACAATAAGATAAAGACATGCTATGAGGTCATATAATGAACACACAACTGTGAATGGAATAAGACCTGGGTTTGTGGGTTCTCAAGCAAATCCGTTCCCTCTCTAAGGTATTTGCTATCTCCTTTTCATCTGCAAAATAAGGAGGTTGGGTTAGCTCAGGCCTCCACAACCTGTGGCCCTCAGGCGTGCCAAAGGATGTCGGGAGGCCAGCAAAAAATGTAGAGGGGATGTTTTCCTCTACATTTTTCGTGGGCCACCTGAAATTCTTTGGTGGGCCACAGGTTGTGCAGGTATGGGCTAGCCAGTATCCAAGGTCCCTTTGAGCCGATATTCTAGGGTTCTTTGCCAACTTTCCCATTCTCCAAAAGAATCTTACTGTTTTTTTAGCAAGTATCCAGAATTCTAGTGGGGAATAAGGGGGGGCGGATGTTATAAGGAAAGACCATGGAAAGGATGTAGAAAATGAACTTTTATAATAACTCATGTTTATATGGCACTTTGCAATTTACAAAGGGTTTTATTTACAATTAGCCTGGAAGATTGGTAGTAAAAGTATTATTCTTATTTTACAGATGAGGAAAAGGCTTCAAAAAGTTAATTAATAATAAAAAATAATAGCAGTTAATATTTATATACTACTTTCTTGTGTGCCAGGAACTTTGCTAAGAGATTTACAATTATTATCTCATTTGATTCTCACAACAATCCTGTGAGGTATTATCCCCATTTTAAAGTTGGGGAAACTGAGGCAGAGAGAAGTTAAGTGACTTGCCCAGGATCACACAACTAGTAAATGACTAAGGTCACGTTTGAACTCGGTCTTCCTAACTCCAGGCCTAGTGCTGTATCCACTTTGCCACCCACCTGCCCAAGTTAAGTGACTTAACCATGATCATTCCATTTTTGGTGTTTGAAAAAAGATTCAGACTTCGGTCTTCTGACTCAAGTCCAATTCTCTATCCATGTAGTGTTGAACTCAGTAAGTCTGTTAAGTTCTCCCTCTTGTAGCTAAGATTCTTCGTGGGCAGTGTAACCAAGATGGTAACAGTAATAGAAATAGTAATAGAAGTGTTGTCATTTGATCTTGGGGAGTAGTGACCGAAGCACCTTCCCATCTGTTTTCTTTTCCTTCTACATTCTCATCATAGACTCAGAGATCTGAATTTGGGAGGTCACCCAGCCAAATGCCCTCATTTTACAGATTAGGGAAGTAGCCTGAGGTGCCAGAAGAAGTGAGGGGTAAACCTGGATCTAGATCTGGTATTCTTTCCACTGTCTCTGTGTGAGATGGGGGGAGGCCAGGTTTGTCATTGCAGCATTGTAGATGCAGCACCTGTTTAAGTTAGCAGCCTGAAATATGGATCTACCATGTGAAATGGGCATATGGTAATTGGCTAGTTAGGACTCAGGACTGTGAAGCTGGAACAAACCTAATGGAGAAGGATGAGGATGGTGATGGTGATAAAAGGGGACAGATTGGTCTTGTCTCTCCTCTGCTCAGAACCCTTCAGTGGCTCCCTGTTACTTACCTACTAAAGGTCTTTCTTCCTTAGCCTGGCATTCAAAGGTCCCCCTGATCTAGTGTGCCAGGCACTTCCAGACTTAACTCACAGCTCCTCCCCTCTAAGTATCTTGTGCTTTAGCCAAACTGAGCTATTTCCTAACTCGTGTACAAGACCATCCTTTGGTCATGTTCCTGAAACCTAAAATGTCCTTCCTTACCTTTAAAAGTGTTGAAATTCTATCTGTCCTTTAAAGCGTAGTTTAATGCCCTCCTAGAAACTAGTCCCAATTCCACCATTAGTAATCAACTTCACCCCCAACTGCAAGGGCTTTTTTGGTGGCTTGAGCCTGTGCCTGTGATTTAATTAACTGGTAAGGAAATTGGGAAGGTAAGTGGGAAAGTGGATAGAGCACTGGCCTTGGAGTCAGGAGGACCTGAGTTCCAATTTGGCTTCAGACACTTAATAGCTGTGTGACCCTGGAAAAGTTGGATTAATCCCATTTGCCTCAGTTTCTTCATCTGTGAGCTGGAGAAAGAAATGGCAAACCACTCCAGTATCTCTGCCAAGAAAACCCCAAATGGGATCACAAAGAATTGGACATGACTAATCAACTAAACAACAAAATATCAGTATTATTGTCATTTGGGGCAAGTAGGTGGCAAAGTGGATAGAGTGCTGGGCCTGAAGTCAGAAAGACTCATCTTCCCAAGTTCAAATCTGGCCTCAAACATTTGTTAGCTGTGTGTCCCTGGGCAAGTAACTTAACCCTGTTTGCCTGTTTCCTCATCTGTAAAATGAGCTGGAGAAGGAAATGGCAAACCATTTCAGTATCTTTGCCAAGAAAATTCCAGATGGGGCCACAGAGAATCAGACATGACTGAACAACAACAAAGGAAATTCCTTCTAACAATGCAGACCAGTAACTGATCTGCAACTCACTGCCTTAGATTTGCCGGTACTATTTTGTATTCTAGTTTTTTGTGTATAAGTTATATCTCCTTACCAGAACGTGAGGCCCATGGGAACAGGAACTTTGTCTAAACTTTGCATTTCCTTTAGTGCTTTGCACATAGTAGGTGCTTCATAAAAACTTGCTGACCTCGTAAATGTTCAATCTCCTGCCAGAGTGCCACTCTCACTTCAGGAGGGGAGAAAGCAGAGAAGCAGAGGGAACAAAGCAGCGAGGATGAGGCACCTCCACCAGCAAAGATGTGAGAATTCCCTTAGAACTGGAGGGTCATACAAAGGCCTTGCTCCAGTATTCCACATCCTGCATGAATGTGGGCAGATCTTCTTGAAGAGGGTTGCACTCCCCACCTGGGATAGCTTGGTGGGGAGACAGTGGGTTTCTTCTTTAGGCTGTGTCTTCCTAACCTACTTTTCCCTCTGTCAATACCCAGCCTGACAGATGAAGAGTTGATTCGAGCCTGCGAAGGACGTACTGCACACAAGTAAGGCAGTCTGCAAGCTCTGCTTTCCTTTCCCTGCCCTTCTCTAGCTTCCCCATCTCTAGGCTTACTCTCCCAGGTGAAGCTTCCACCATTGTCTCTAGCCCCTTTCACCTCTAGGCTTTAATGCTGCCCACCAAGTCTCTCTTGCCCCACACAAGCAAGACCACAGGGGGAGGGAACACTTTGTCTGATTTTTTTGGTGTTCCTCTGATTGGATATCTGCCTGCCCCAGGGGTGCCCGCCACGGGCTTACCATGAAGGCCAAGCTGGCCCGGCTGGAAGAGCAGGAGCGGGCCTTCCTGGCACAGTACAAAGGCCAGAATGCAGATGTACCTAACTCCCCAGCTGAGGAAATGCCCCAGAAGATTAAGAAGAAGAAAAAGAAAAAGAAAAGTCAGGAAGAAGCATCAGTGACAGACAGGACTGAGCACATGGAGGTCCTAGAACAGCCTGATGAGAACAGCAAGAAGAAGAAGAAAAAGAGACAACGGGAAAAGGAAACAGAAGATGAGGTAGGCATTCAAGTAGAGAAGGCAGAGGAAGAAGAAAACAGGACCCGGAAAACCAAAAAGAAGAAAAAAAGGAAGGAACTACCAGAGGTCTAGTGAGGACTGTTCCAGTAACCACCTACTTTCCCTTACTGGAGATCAGGACTCTCGAGGCTCGGGCCTCTAGGCCTTTTGCCCATTGCAGGGGGTGGGGGACGGGGGTGACAGAGGGTCCTCTTTTAGGTGCCAAGGCCACTGGAAATCAAGGTATTGTGGCCCCTCTCACCTTCCAGTTCTACACAGAGGAATCAATAAACACCTCCCAGGGCCCTGCCTTTCAGTCCTGTTGAGGCTCTTCACCCCCCACCCCAGCTCAGGGCTTCTTTCCTATGACCTGGGCTGGGAAAGAGGCACCAGAGTCATTGTTCTTTGTCCCACAGAATTCCCTTCTGTCTCCTTTCACACTTTTGTAGATATATCACCAACTAAATGAGGGCTGAAACTTTGAAGGCGTTTCATCCACTTTCCTGCCTACGGGCAAGTTTGCCCCAGTCCAGATGGATAGGAATTACTTGTACTCAAAGAGATTACACAAGGTGGTGTGGATGCCCGTTTCAACATTTAGCAATCCTTACTAGCAGAAGGCCTTTCTTCCCATCTGCCTTACTGCAGGATCAGCTTATCTTGAGCATCTTTATAGAATTTCAAGCTAGAAAGGACCGACCTTTCACAGATGATGAAACTAAGACCCAGAGGTCACATAGCTCCAGGATTCAGACTTGGGTCTTCTGATTCCAAGGGCAGTGTTCTTTGCACTATACCATGCTGTGTCCCCTCTGGCCCACAAAGATGGCTCCAGCCCACCCAGAAGATCTCAAAGCACTTTACAGATCCAGACCAAAAATAAACTCAGTCTTTATTGGGGACACACCAGTCTTTCTTCACTGCAGTTGCAAGACACAATCAGTTGCTGGGTAAGGCGGTAGGTTGAGCTGGTATTTCTCCTGTAAGGCAGATGGCACAAAGCGGCCCCCCAAGTAGTGGTGTCGCCCTTTGAACAGAGTGGCTGCCTTTTTGGGGGCTGTGAGTGAGATGAGTAAGTCAGGCTGGATGCCATCTGGGTTCCCCTTCTCCACATCCCACCCTGTGGGTGCAAGGGACACATGGTTACAGAAATCAGTCCTCTTTCATATTACCTTCCCCTATACCCCTTCTGAATTTGGTTGGAGCTCAGCCTTGGGGGAAGCAGGAACATTAGGCCCTGTCCTAGGCTCTCCAGGCACCTCTGTGCTTTGGGGTCTCTTCATATGGAGGAAGTGAAAACACTCTGTGACACCAGCCAGAGAGGATGTTGAGCGGAGAGGTAGAATTTTCAAGTTCTTGCCTCTGAGAACCTGCCAGCTCTAACATTCTAGAATTCAGGTAGCCTTCACTTCCTGCCCACCTTGGGCACTTGGGAGTATTCAGAAATCATCCACTTATACCACTCTACTACCCCTCTCCCCCACCCCCAGGGTACCTGAGGGGATGTCAATGCTGGCAATAGGCACTGTGAGCCCACTCAGCACATTCAGGATGGCTCCAAATGGCTCCCGCACAGCACCCTTAAAGCTGAAGCCAAAGATCGCATCTATCACCAGTTCATATAGTTCATCAATCAGCATCGGCTAGGAAGGAGGGAGAGGGAGAGCAGGTTGGTAACCCATTTCCCAACACTCCTGTTCTAAGCGAGGGAAAAGGTGAGAATGGCTGTAGAAAAAACAAGGAAGATTATATAGATAGAGGCAGCAGTGGGTGCAGAATCAGAAACACTGAAGTTTTGTGCTGAGGGACAGCTACTTGTTTCTAGAGGGAATTTAGGCACCAGGGACTAGGACAGAAGTCATAGGATGATAGGTGAAACAGGAAATAAAACTGGCCCTCTCAGAGGCCCAGAGAGGTTCATTTCCCAAGCTCACAGAGGTAGTAAGTAACCATATCTAGATTAAAACCCTGGCTCCCAGTTACTAGAAGATAGGGACAATGGTGCATGGTAGGGCTGCAAAGGAGTCCAGAAGAAAGCATTTAGGCTTCACTGTTTGGGGTGGGAGCAGCTAAAAGAACATTTTCATATCAAAGAAAAGGAAGAACAAAGAAGCCAGTGGCTATGTACTAGGGAAAGTTTAAGCGAATTTAGGGTCTGATGCCTCCTACCTCAGGTGGCATCTCAGGCAGAAAAGGGATGTCCATCTTCTGACACTGTGTCACTAGAGCATCAAAGAGTGGCTTGCTTGGCTTCTTGGGATAATGGATCTTTGGCTCATAGCCCTGGGAAGGAGGGAAATGTGATGTGATCCAGATGGCTGAATCATAAGAGCCCTTTCCCATCCTGTCAGCCTCCCCTCCCTTGGTGGCACCTCCCCATACTCACAAAGAGTTTGAGGTGCCTGGCACAGACAAGGCCATCACCCCCATTGTTTCCAGGACCACAGATAACCAGGACTGCTGGGGGGCTGCTGCCAAAAGAACTGAGTGGGTATGCCTGCAGGGAGGAGATGCATGGGGATTAAAAGAATCTTCTTGCAGAAGGCCCTGGTTCCCATATAACAGATTTCATGTGGTTCATTTCCCATCCCCTCCTACTGGCTTTCATCATTCTGCCCTCGCTCTTTAGGGGCTGGGCAGTGCTAGGTCCTCCCCCAGCCCCTGACACTGACCTTGGCAATGGCAGTGGCACAGCTGAGCCCAGCCAGCTCCATGAGTTGATCCACGCTAAACTTGTACTCGTTGAATAGCTCCTCATCCACAGCCTGGGCCTCCTCCTGGCTGGGAGAAAACCCAGCCCCTCCAGACTCAGTTCCCGACCCTCGCCCTCCCACGCCCGGGCGGGCGGCCCCCTGGTCCACATCGGTGCACCCCCTGGTCCAGGTCAATGCACTCCCTGGCCCAGGTCAATGCACTCCCTGGCCCTCCCAGGTTCGCGCAGACGCCCCCTGATCCAGGTCAGTAAATCCCTTGTACGCCTGCAACCCCTAGTCCTGCCCCACCTCCCCGACCCAGGTGGGCGCCCGAGTCACTGCCTCCCCAGGTTTGGGGGCACCCCCCGGTCCAGGTCAGTGCACGCTCCCTGCGCAGAACGCGGAAGTCGGACGCCCCCGGCCTCGTCTCACCTCAAGTACTTAAGGGTTTTGCCCGCCATGGTGGAGTCCCCTGGGTGCATCTGCCTTGCCCCCCACCAGGCAGGCCCCGGGCAGTGGGGCCCACCTCGAGCCAAGACGCGCGGGAGGCGCGAGCCGGCGACCAGCAGCCCCAGTCCCAGCAGCGCCCGCAGCCCGGACATTCAGGTCCCCGCGAGCGGCCTCCTTCCCTCTCTCCCTCCCCCCTGAATGCCAGCCTCGGAGCATGCGCTAGCACTGCCTCCTGCTTCAGCCCCGAGGGACGAGAATCCTAGCGCGCGTGCGCCGCTTCCGAGCCAGGCTGGTACACGAATTGAGCTTGCCTACCGTGGCAGCGGTGGCTGCGTGCAATAACGGCGCCCCCTGCTGGCCGTACCCTAACCCACTCCCGGGAGGAGAAGTTGTGCGCCACACTCCTCCCATTCCCCAGTGAAACTGACAAAAGCAGGCCTGGACGAGAACAGAAACAAGATTCACTGCCAGTTTTATTTGCTCTTCCAGTTGCACCAAAAGTGGAGCAGGAGGTGGTGTGGGGGATCTCGAAGTTCTCATCTGACCCTAACACTGAGCACAGCCTGGACTATGGTGCCTGACCACTCTGCAGTGCTGTGCTCCAGATCGTCTCCACCCAAGGACTGGACAAGTAGAGAAGGCCAGGACTCCACAGACTCTCTCAGAGGAGGAGACTTAGGGGGACAAGAGTCACATGACCATGCAGAAGCTGGACTTGATTGGCCTCCTGCAGACATTTCTGCTGAGAGTGGTGGGGGGTCCTTCAGGTGATCTGAAAGAGATAGGAAGAGGGGTAGTACTACAGCCTGGGGAGAGCGAGGGAGAAAGTGCTGGGTACCAAGGAACGAAGACAGGGGCAACTGGGGACTACCTGTTTCCTGGAGCTCTCACTATCCCTCCTCCTTACCTCCCCAGTGCATGATGCCACCTCGGATAGGTGGTTTTGAGGTTCTGCTCCCCAGATTCAGGGTCTTTTTTCCCTCTCTCCCCGAGAGGCAAGTGATGGAGCGGGCAAACCGATTCCTGGTGTACCATGGCTGGCCGTGGATTATTACAATTGCTGAGGGACAAAAACAAAGATGACCCTGTGTCCCTTTATCAGTGGCCCAGGTCATCTTGCCACTCCAGGGCCTTCTCTTTTGTTCCTTTTAGCACTGGATCCTCAGCCTTACCCATCCCTAGCCCCTTCTTAAATATCGTAACTTTCCACAATATTTCAATACCCACTTTCCTCAGAATGTAAACTCCCTGAAGGTGGGTTTGTTTTGTGTGGGGGGGTTGGCTCCTCTCAGCCTTGCACATAGAAAGCTCTTAATAAATGTTTAAGTTGAAATGCTCACAAAGATTCATTATTTCATTAGTGTGGGTGCTATCTTCACTAGTATAGATTGCACCCCTCTCTACCTTACCAGACTGTCTTTATGAGTTTCGATTGTGTCACAAAACATCATCTTGCCCACCCCAACCCCCTACATTCTGATAATTAGCTCTTAGGAACTTAGCAAAGGCTGGTCCTCAGATGACAGAGCCAGAGTTCATCACAAAGACTATACTCAAAGCCTTCCTGGTTTTGTTGGTCCTGCCAGAATATGCACACAGATGGCACAGTCATTGAGAACTCAGGGGTCACCTCTGTACAACAGTGGGTCAGAGTGGGGCTTCGAGCCACTCCAAAGCATGCCAGTTTCCAAACCTCTTTCCATTCATACTCCAAGCACTATATGTTTTCCCAAGCAGGAAGCCTACCTACCTATTGGCTTGGGGACCATCAGAGTCCAGGATGCTGGGCTTCCCATCTTTGACAACACCTGATTGATGGAAAGAGAGAGGCCTCAGACCTAGTGAAAAAACAAATATAAGCCTCAGTTTATCTAAACCCATAGTTTGGAAAAGAACGGGAAGTAAGGGGCAGGCAGATAAGTGGACAATGTGTCATGAAATGGTAGCTAGGTGGTGCAGTGGATAAGATCAATGGGCCTGGAGTCAGAACACCTGAATTCAAATCCAGCTTGAGCCTTTCTAGCTGTGTGACTGTGAACAAGTCACTTAACTTCTGTCTACCTCAGTTTCTTCATCCATAAAATGGAGATTATAATAGCATCTACCTCCCAGGGTTACTGTGAGGTTAAAATGAAGTGATATTTGTAAAGCTCTCAGTACATGCTTTGTTGTTGTTGTTTAGTTGTTTTCCAGTTGTGTCCAACTCTCTGTGACCCCATTTGGGGTTTTGTTGGCAAAGATACTGAAGTGGTTTGCCATTTCCTTCTCCAATTCATTTTTTTTTTTTAACAGATGAGGAACTGAGGGAAATAGAGTTATGTGATTTGCCCAGGACCACACAGCTAGAAAGTATCTGAGGTGTTTAATGAACACTAATTTCCTTCCTTCAATAAGTTTCAATTTTTAAAAATTGCTGTAAGGTTTACAAAGCACTTTCCTCACAATAGTAATGTAGGGTAAGAAACATAAGTGCTACCTTTTAGCAAAGTGCCTGGAATATCTGTCGATTGATTGATTGTAGGTTAGGTAAAGGAAAGCTTTCCAGATTGCCAGGGGTGGGAACACCAAGATGGAGGCACTGGGGAAAGGCATCCCACCTCAGACTGGATTAGATGGAACAGCCGGGAGAAAGGATAAAATGACCTCAGGTGAACTTTGCTTATGTGAGGAAATGATCAGTGGGGGGTGGGGGGGGGCACATGACTACTCAGACTCACGATCCAGTCTCCATTTGGGTGATGTCATGGGAAGATTGACTGTCACCTCCTCCTCTTCCTCCCACAAAGCAGCTGATCTGCCAGGGCAAAGGAGGAGGGAGACAGACTGGGAGGGGAGTTCCTTCCCTTCACCCGTTGCAAAGTGAAAACATTCCCAATAACCCTTCTGTTCAGCAGCCCTGACCACTCATAACCACACCCTTTGCCTCTTTAAGGAAACATGGCACAGTGGAACAAGATATTAATTTAGAGTAAGAAAACCTAGGTTCAAATCTTGGTTCTGCCCCCTCCTCCTCTTAGACCTTAGGTAAATCATCCATTTCTTTGAGCTTCAGTTTCTTCATCTATTAAATAAGGAGGTTGGAATGGTTCCTTCTAGCTCTAAATCCATAGTCCTATGAACCAAAATTATTGTCACCACATATTCCCCTAGGGGTTCTCTGGTCTAAAATCTGCTTGTCTCTGAAGCTCCACATCCCTCTCTCCCAGTCCCCCTGACCTGCCCACTCTACCTCACCTGCATTGTGTTGGGCCCTTTGCCTGACCCCCCAGCATCTGGTAGGAGGGCTTGGAGGAAGAGGCTCTACTGGTAGCCAGTGGCCTTCCCCGGGTCAGTGACTGGAGGGGAAAAAGGGAGAATGGGTGGTTTTAGGAACTATGGCCATGGTCAGAGTCATATTCCCACCAGCTATTCATTTGTATGATGCACAGAGGCGTTGACCCCCCCCCCCCCTTCCTGGATGACAAATCAATGGAGGGAATGAAGGAGGGAGGGAGGGAGGGAGAGACACACACATACACACAGAAAGAGACAGACAGACAGAGACAGACGGAGACAGAAAGAATCAGAGAAACAGACAGAAAACAGAGAGACCAATAGGGACTAGCTGTCTCTGAACTGAAGGGAGACTTGACATCCAAAAACAAGTGAAAGATTTGATTCATTCCAAAACCACTGATGGGGAAACCTTTGTTCCGTTGAGGTCCATGGATCCACAAAAGATTAAAGTCATCAAGGGTCACAAAAGTCATAACAGGGCTAGACAAGGGGATTTTGTACTAATGGGACTCTAGAAGCAGATGATCCGGCAGCACTAGTCTAAAATTAAGCCCTGCTAGAGGCAGCTAGGTGGCACAGTAGATTGTGCACTGGGCCTGGAGTCGGGAAGACCTGAGTTCAAATCCAGACTCAGATCCTCATTAGGTTATGTGCCTTTGGACAAGTCACTTCCCCTCTGTTTGCCTCAGTTTCCTCAACTGTAAAATGGTGATAATAGGGGCAGCTAGGTGGCACAGTGGATAGAGCTGAAGTCAGGAAGACCTGAGTTCAAATCTAGCCTCAGACCAAACACTTGACATTTACTAGCTGTGTGACCCTGGGCAAGTCACTTTACCCCAATTGCCTCAAAATAAATAAATAAATAAATAAATAAAATGGTGATAATAACAGCACCTACCTCAGGATTGTTTTGAGGACTGAATGAGATAATATTTGTAAAGCGCTTAGCATATTGCCTAGCAAACAGAGGGTGCTATATAAATGCTAGTTATTAGTATAATCTTTTCCCTAACCGCTTGCCAAACCTGCCCTGCCAGGTAATGCCTCCATCTCTGTTAATGACACCACCATTCCTCCTATTACCTCATTCTCATCCTATACACTTTATCCATTACCAAATTCTGGCTATTTCCAGCTCCTCTCTGCTCTCACTAAAATAATCCTAACTCAGGTCCTCATTTCTTCTCCTCTGCAATATTCTAACAGCCTCCTAACTAGTTGTCCTGCCTTTAGTCTGTTATTGTGGTAGAGTGAAAAGACCAACAGATTTGGAGTCAGAGGACCTAGGTTCAAATTCTGACTGTCACTACCTATGACCTTGGGCAAGTAACCTCCCTGATACAGTTTTCTTGTCTGAAAAACGAAGGTGTTGGACTAGATGACCTCTAAGGTTCCATCTACCCCTAAATCTGTGCCTTTATGACCGCATCTCAGGATTGTGCTGGAGACCATTCTAATGGGCTGATGGTTAAATTTTCGTTGTGAGCATTTACACCTTGGAAACTGTCAAACACATCAAATGAAAGCTTGATTTCTTTTTTTATTGATAGTCTAGACTTTAGAAAGTGGTGGAGAAAATATGAACACTACAGGTAGACATTTTTCCTGGAGAGCCAGTTGTTAAACATTTACTGGCATATCCCTGGCTCTAACTCCCTACTCTCCCAAATTATCTTCTTAATGAACTTCCATGATCACATATCATTCCTCTACTCAGAAGACTTCAGTATCCAAGGGACTGATAATGAACTTTACTACCCACCTCCTGACACAGAGGTGATGATGTAGAAGGAGACATGCATTTTAGAAATAGAAAATGTGGGAATTTGTTTTGCTTAACTATGCACGCCTGTTAAGTTTTTTTTCTTTTTGAAATTTTAAATTGGGGAAGCAAGAGGGA